CTAAAGTCACAGGGAGAGTGGTGAGCTCACAGTTTCTTCACCACCCAAAATTCACCTTGTTTTGTGTCGGAATTAGCTAGCTACCAAAAAACCCAACCACTCCAGTACTTAAAATCCAGGTCTCAAAACCAACCATGTCATTTTTTCCCTCCCTCCTAATATAGTAGAGACTATATTAGAACATACGTGTTTGAATGCTAGATTTATTTGGCTCTGTAGGTTAAACAGCCCTCAGGCGAGGACATTATGTGCATACCCTGCTTCAAAAAGGAGACTGGTCTAACCGATCTCCAAGGTCTTTCCCATCGTGAACCATTTTACAGCCTTATACAAATGAAGACCCAGATCTTTATCCAGAGACTTGGACTACTTGTGACTGTAGAACTGGAACCCATAGAAATGTAATTTGAACTTTGCTTTTGTTTTATTATCAGTAGTTCTTAAGTTATTGTCTTGATGTCACAGGTTGTTCCCCTTGTACTCACCACACCTTTGAACCTCTTGTTGTCAAAAGTTTCTAGTTTAGCATAGCTCACCACCCCTCACAAATGAGTCATGTATTAGGAAAGCTCAAATATGAAGATTCTTGTAGTCTAGTCCTGTTTGAGTGGATCTGCTGTTTGAAGAGTGCTTTTCAAGGTCTCTTTAGCATTCTGCTTGGTGCTGGACCATTGCAATGGCAGACCAGAAAGTCTGTGGAGGAGAGAATGTTGTGGACTGTGATACAAAAGGGTAAGAAACTGGAACTGCTCATAAAACAAGTCACTGAAGGACTAAAAGAATGGGTAGGGAACATCTGGCTGACAGGAAATCCTATATAAACTGACCTGTGCTGTATCTGGGCTACACATACAACAACAAACACAAATAGGGTAAAACTCTAATACATACACATGGCACAGTACTGGTGCTCAGATGATAACTTACAGTTTACTTGTGTCTTAGTCACAAGTGTGAGCCATGTAAAAGATCAAACTGCTGTATTTTAGGCCTTTCAAAACAATACTTGACAATACTCATTTTTAGTCACTTCTCTATTATTAAGATGTGGATGCAGACAATAAAAATGCCTCCATCTCCAGGATACTGCATCAAATGTCTTAGCTGAGGGCAGGCAAGCAGTTTGATCTCTAGGATTGGCTGGAAAAGAGGGAGGACGATAGGGAACCTCAAGTCTGTCACACATCCTTAATGTAGATGAGGAAATCATCTGCGTCACATAAGGGACAGCAACATGCTTCTCTTCACTCCTCTTGGAATCAAGAACAAGAAGGAGGAGCTGAAGCAGGAGTTCCTCCTGGGCAGGATGATTATACATTAACTTACTGGCTTGCAGCCTGGGCACAAGGTAGATCTGATCAATATTGTTTTCTGAAGAATTTATACCGTCTACTCAGATGGGCAGCTCTTTCAAGTCATCCCAAAAGGATTGTGCTATTCCAAGAAAATGGGAACATATAAAGACAATGAGCAATGACTGTCAGTTAACTCAACTGGGCCACAGCTACTATGGTAGAGAGTGAAGGCTTCAACGTTATCTATATGAAGCACATCTCTTATGTACTTCGACAAGAGTGGTTGTTGGGATATTTCACACGAGTCACTGCTGTGCTAACATTGACTCTAAACTTTTGGGTGGACTAAGACTCCAATAACTTTATGGCATCAGCTCCTGCTGAAAATATTTTGTCCACTTAATCTTCAGCTGCTGATGTCCTTCACTACAGCTGTTAATACATAACAGGGAGCACAATATGACCAGAATGGCCTCGTCCCTGTGCTGAGCGGTTTACAAACAGCAATTTTGGAGCAATTCAGAATTTCTGGGGGTTTTCCAGCTGCTTTTAGATCACTGCTTCGACTAAGCCTCACCATGGCCTAACCAGCCTCTTTTCCCAGACAGGAACTGGAGCACATGGCTTGTGGTTGTGGGAAATTAATAAGGGGGTGAAAAAGGAAAAACAAACAGAAAGGACTTTTCCCATGTGTTTTACAACACTGCAAATCTGTCCTGCATCCAGTTCATCTGCAGTGTACCATTCTCTTGCCAGGCATTCCTGTGCTCACTTGCTATATAATGTAACACTATTCATCCTCCCACCACGAATTTTACTTCTAAAGAGTTCTCTGAGTTTCAAAGGGCTAGATACTGATGATGTAAACTGGTGACACTCCATTGTAGATTTTTAAATCAGATCCAGATTTCCTTCTAAAATATGTATTTAAACATATGAGGAATTCCCCACTTGTAACATACATAGCCTTAAGCCGTAATTATTGTCTCTATTTGCATAAGAACCTTTACACAGCTATGTAATAAAACTGCTCAGGAAAGCAGTATCTTGACAGACTGAGTTTCACTTTACATATCACAAATTAGACCCAAAACTCATGCCTTGGGAAAGGATAATAGAGCATTATAAATTTTTAAAGTGCAGCACTTTTCAAAGGTGAAAGATTGCCACTAAAATATAGGATTTCCTGAAACAAGTTTTACAAGAAAAGAATCCTGTGATGTATTTTTAAACTACATCCTCATCACTATCATTCATTTGTCAGTACAAGTAGCATTTTACGTGGTGTGCCTGTTTCTTCATAATTACCAGTGGAATATCCCTGGAAACCACTTCTCATTCATTTCCCCTGGCCTGAGGAGTGTGAGCAGAACTGACACTGTGAAACATGCTGTGAAGAAGCACAGAGACTCTTCTTCCTTCTTTGGCAAAGCTTGGGTCAGTCTGTGGTTCGCGTAGTCCGAGAAACCATTTAAGCATTGTTCAAAATTACAGTGATCAAGGGCTGCATTTCAGCAGAGGAAACCCAGAAGGCTGTGTAACTCGTTTTCCCACAGTCCATGAATCCAAAGCTTAAATCTTAGTGTATTCTCACCTTCTGCTTTTATGCAGCTGATCAGCATTTGTAACCAGTCTGTTGAATATCAAAGGATAGGCAACCTCTTCCCCTCAGTGTGATTTTAAGTAGGTGAAACAAACTACCAACTGCCTAAAGTTCACCAGAATACACTGGGGAAGTTATTTAACTTGTAAATAAAGGGCCTTGCCATGGCGCTTTACAATCACTCTGGCTTTGCTAACCCCTTGGATGCCCAGGCCTGCATGTTCTCAGAGATCTCCTGTAGGCAAAGTATGAGATCAGGCCCTGGGACTCAATCCAAAAGTCCACTGAAACCGATGGAAATAATCCCACTCATTCACTGCAGTTAGCATGGGAAACCAAGTCTCTCCAAATGCACCTGAAGTATATCCGCAGTCAAGTACTTAATCTCCATGTATACGGCTTAAAACCATAGGTGTCCTGTTAGTCATATTCTGTGCATTTACCATAACATCACAAGATCCACTCTTCATCCAAGATGTGACTTCAGCAGATGATAATTGTTGGCAGTAAAAACATGTATTATGGCCATGCCCAAAATTCATGTTTGCTATGCCAAGCATTACATATAATTAATTTGTATGTGATGTGTAATTTGTCCCATAGACTTTATCATGCCTTCTTCTCAACTGTTCTTCAGTGCTAGCCACTAACCGTGACTAAAAACAGTATTTGTTGACAGGTTTATAATGCACAAACACTGGTCCAAACCTAGAACAGGCATTTATAATAAATACTGTGCTCAGGCTTTGCCAATTCTATAAAAATGGTGCTTAATAAACCACAATGTATAACGTGAAGGGAACTAATGAAATAACTTGCTACTGATAAGATGTAATTGCTGCATGCCTTCAAATGTGCTCCACCAGCTTCTCACATACCACCTCTTCCTTCTGCTGATCAGCAAGCTGTTCTGTGCAGCCATTTAGCAGAGTCACTTATGAGACCAAAGGCAATCCATGCACATCAATATACACTTAGCCACCAAAGACAGAAATAAAACGACACAACAATGACCATCCTCTCCTGTAAATACACTGCTTGACTTCATGAAACATGTGTGATTAGCTCGCCCAACTAGACGTGGAAAAACAGGTAAAAATGGTACTAAAACAGGCAAAAAATGGGGAAGCCTCCCTTAAGAAAAGATCATTTTTTCCCTCTCAGCATTGGATTTTAATCTGCAATTCACACATGCATTTTTAGTCTCTTTTTTAGCTTTATACTTTTCTTTGTAGTAAGAAATAAAAGGCTGAACAAGAGGACATCCATGCAGTAAGTGTTGTGGTTTAAATTCAGTCAGCCATGCAGTCTCTCTCTCATTCCCCTCCTTCCTCCCCCACCCCGCTCCCGGAGGGATGGGGAGGAGAATTGAAATGATGTAACTCCCACGGGTTGCGATAAGAACAGCCCAGTAACTAAGGTATAACACAAATCACTACTGCTGCCACCAATAACAATAATGATAAGGGAAATAACCAGGGAAGAGAATACAACTGCTCATCATCCGCCGACCGATACCCAGCCCAACCGGGCAGTGATCTAGCTCTTCTGGGTAACTGTCCCCTGTTTATATACTGGGCATGATGTGCTGTGGTATGGAATACCTCTTTGGCTAGTTTGGGTCAGGTGTCCTGTCTGTTTCCTCCCAGCTTCCCCTCCTCCCTGGCAGAGCATGAGACACAGAAAGTCCTTGGTCAGACTAAACGTTACTGAGCAACAACTAAAAGCATCGGTGTTATCAGCGCTGTTCCCAGGCTGAAAGTTGAAACCACAGCACTGCACCAGCTACTAAAAAGGAGGAAAATGACTGCTACTGCTGAACCCAGGACAGTCAGTTAAAAAGGGATGTGAGAAAGTTATCCTAAATTTCAAATCAAGATACTTTTAAACCCCTCTTTGAGATGCTGTTCCTGACTTTCTTCTTTTGCCCCTCCCAAATTTTAACTAAAGGCTGCAATAAAGAGAAGGTATGCTAAGGGATTATGAGATATGAGTCTTTCATACAGGCACAAAATAAAGTACTAACAGGTACATGGATACCTTCGGTTGCCTCATGAAGGAGCTGGTGAAATTGCTATGGGCTCCAAATTCAGTGATTTATGGTAATGGGAAACTATACAGTATGCTCTTGAAATGCAGTTTGAAATGATTGATAAAGCTTTAGTCTGACTGAACACATACAGTAGATAGATTAAGTGTCTGGCTTATCTGTCTGGTCCTGGGTGTTCATCAGTCAACCTAACTAACAAGCTAAAACTCAGAATTGTGGTCAGCAAGTTCATATTCAGCTAAAAATATGGGGTCTGCAGTGAGCTCTTTCACACAAAGACAGCACATTGAATTCGTTTAATGCTTGCTTACCCCTACTAATGCTCTCCAGCTAGGAAAGGAAAGAACCGCGGACTTGAGAAGCAAGCTCACCCCTTGCATTTACTTCCCCCTTCATTACTTTTTAACATCACTTTAAGTAACAACTGCTGAAACCCATTAACAAAATCATTTTACGGTGCCAGAAATCTCAATAGCTCATAAAATTGCATTATGAAGCATGTTAAATTTTGCTCAAGTCAAATGCAATTTAATAGCTTTTAATCAAAACACTGGCGTTTTCTGTGGGGCTAGTTGCCTTCCAGCTCGGTACACAAACCAGCTTCAAAGTAAACACCCAGCTCATAAAGGTGAAGCGAGGTAAGAAATGTGTGGTGTAGAAGGTCTAGGTACAAACTCCCAGCTGGTGTAAAGCAGTAGAATGCCACAGCTCTCAGGAAACCCCAGCTGCCATAGCTACGAAGGTGAAAGGAGTACATGTAGAATCGATGGCTTTACTATTGAGTCTGATTTTTCTAATGTAAAGGCTGTACCATCAATATTTTCATAGGTAAAACGAGTGATTTTAGCTGGATTCCAAGCTAAAGAAAATGTAAAGTATCTGCTATGGACCATAGGAAGCATTCAGGAGAAGAGGAGCCCATTCTGGAAAATCATCTTCTCCCCCTCTCCCATTCACCACTTTGGGGGAGGGAATTAAAAACTATAAAGTACAACAAATAAAAAGGATCAATGAACTCCAACCCCCTTTGCTGTTAATCCGTGCTGAGCTTCAAACAAGCCTGTGGAAGGACAAGACCTGAAAAGGTATTTGCAATACAAGAGGCAATGGACACAAAAGTATATGCTGCTAATTAAAAACGTAAAATTATATCACAATGACTTTAAATGAGAATGATCTCAGTCTAATCACATAATACTTTCTTTTGTGCTCTGGGTCACGCCGTCACTCAGATGCAGCATTCAGGAAGCACATTTCATTAGACTAAATAAAGCTTCAATCATGTGTAAAATTTCTAACTTGAATAGGCAGCCATCATATCATTCATCAGTCTAGATGTATTTAATGGGTGTAATTTCTTCCTCATATTTCTGTGTTGATTGTTTCGTTTCCATTATAGAAATCTTTCAAGATTGCCCTTTTTGCTATTCTTCTGGGCAGGATAAATAATGCTTTTTAATATATAACCCAAACACATTCCTTCTTGTGTGTCAAAAAAACCTGGGTGTCTGAGATAAACTTAAACCAAAACACAGAGAGAAACACCACCAAAACAACACACACAACCCCCCTTCCAGGAATCAGATGATACTACCCATACTTGCATGTCTTACAATAAATAATTATGCTTAATCAAAACCAAATTGAGCAGTCTTGTTTAAACACAACAGCCCCCTGGGGATTCTGACACTGTTTCTACAGTTCACTGCAGAGGGATTATTTCTAACATATGACTTGAAAGCAGGAGACAACACATACAAGCCCATCTCCATCCCTCACTTCCTTCTTCTCCCTTCTCCACCCAGCTATCAGGTGGTAAGCAGTACAATAAAACCTTGCACCTTTAAAATTTCAGATGAATGGGATGAATTAATAACTTGGGAAAGATCCACAAACTCATCAGCAGGAAACCGTAGCACGGAGTGTAGCCTTCCAGCACTAAATCTTAGCCTTCTAGCCTGATTTTGAAAAGAAAATACTGTCTTCTAGATACTTATCTTACAATTTGGTTGCACAGTTACCTTGCTTATCAGAGGAAAAATTAGCACAACTTAAATTTAGTTCTGGGCTAAGTACCTGTTCAAAGTTTCCACATTGATAATACAACTTAACAGTTTTCCATCTAGCATCCTTCCCCCCATCATGCTTTTCTTTTCCTATTTATTCCTTTGTCTGCCTCCATGGAGGACAGAAATGCAAAACATCACATTGGGACTGGACTAGACAGGCTAAGCCTTCCCTCCTTTGACAAGCCTAAACCTTTCTCAGTTCTGCTCCCTCTATCTTCCCTCCTCTTCATATGCATTTCATCCATCTGTTGCTTTCTCTTATGACATTGGTCCCAGATCTGTAATGAGATCTGTTCCGGTGCATGAGGCTCAGCAGGATCACACAAGAACTTCTATTTCAGAAACCCATAAGTCTAACTGGGTCCAGCACCTTGAAGACTCATTCTTACACAGCCACATTAGTGGAGGAAAATACAAAAAACCTTACATTTACCTTTACAGATGTGTGAAAATGCATGTTTCAGAATCCCAGATTAAGCAGACTGGATGGGACAGGGGATTTATCCATCAGGCTATTGCAGCTGCAACCATAGTTGTCTCCAAGCCTGTGATCTGAAGCCCATGGATTGGAGTCCTGTTAAAAATCAAGTAGTAAAAATACTGACTTAGTAACATCTCTTTTCGGTCACAACTTCTAGCAGAGACCAGTTATTTCGGATGTCATGATTCTTTTTGAGGTTGGGACACCATGGAAGGAGAGTAACTGGCAGCAGCATTGAAGACACAGCCTGGAGAGGCCTTGATTCTGTCCTCATGGTGGAGAGAGCTGATAGATTTAAGTTGTGAAAGGAAAAAACACACAACTAAGGCAGCTATTTGGTTGCAACAGAAACCAGAAGAAATTCCACCCACGACACAACTTGAATGAGAAGAAAAAGTCAGATGTGAAACTCTAAGGACCACCTTTCTGGGCACAATAAGTAGGTACAGTTCAGATAACTTCTGTGATACCACAGCTACTCATCCTTTTGATACATGACCTAATGTTCATTCTAGCCAGGTGTAAGATTCTGGTGGCTTCAGCGGATGCTCAATTGGAGAATATTGATCAATACCCAGAAGTAGAAAGAATCCTTCTCCATAGATTGGAACCACTATTCCAGCCACATAGAGGCTGGGCCCACTTTTCAGCTCTGCCAAAAGCTTCCTATGTGACCTCCTGCCAACTGTTAATTTTGTCTGGCCAAGAAGCTCACACAGATTTTAAACACCTAATGAAGTTTATAGGCCGGTGCCTCTGTGCCATAATTCCCACAACACAATGAAATTATACTTAGGAATCCTTTTAGTGTGATCGTTTTTTAATGGTCATAATAACCGCTTTTCCCCTCTTTTGTGGTAAAGTGACCGCAGGCATAAACTTTCCTCCTCTGTAAGAAGTGACATCAATTTGGACAAGATTGATTTTAAATTAATCCATTTCATACTGTACTCCTCTGATAAGAGCTCTTCATCAAAGAGATATCTAACTTTCATAGAAGAGAAGCTTATGCTGTTGTGGATGAAGAAAAACAGATAAAGACCTGCCTGTAAAGGGAAGTCTGCATCTTCTATCTCCATTATAGGGTCACTTACAGAACTGTATGCATGAGTGGAGCATATAAAATACAGATCAGCTGCAACCTGGCAGATACAGAGAGTTTCTTGCACTAGGTATCCAAGCATCTTTAATCTCGGCATCTTCAGATTTCAAATGATGACACAAATCATGAAGCATGTACTTTTTCCCCTGTGCTTCCACTGTCTTCAGTGTCCATAAGGCATCTGAAAATTCTCACCCAGAGTCCCACTTTGTAATTAAGCCATGCAGAGGATTTAGGAGTCAAGGACTGGAGCACGATCTCGGCATTACATGGGCATTCCAGAAGGGAATACTCAGGGCTAGAGAATTTCCCTCTCAAGAGTTGCTCAGAAAGAGCAGCTTTCCTCCTTAACTCAGCATGTATTCATAGTTTTATTCCTCTTAACATTTTTTGTTAGACAGCATCTACAGGCCCCAATCATAGCTGAGGTCTTGCTGCCTTTAGGCAAGCAGAGCTATTTAGGCATCGAATTAGCTTCCCAGCTTGGACATATCAGGTAGATATTAATGTCTTTTCAGGACAATCTTTGCAGGTCATAGCCACTTTTCCCAAAGGCTTACATGAGCGTTGCCATTCACTTCAGTGGGCACAAGATCAAATCCAGCATTACCATGGATGCGTTTCCCTAAATGTTCTAACCCGATAAAAATACTTCTGTTCTCTAAGGAGAGTCAGGAATGAGAACGTTAGCAGAGGAGTTCATAAACACAGTCCCGACGTGAAAGAGCTCTGCTTCAGCCTCAAGCTCTCAGCTCATCTGTTTCTCTCATTACGCCCAGTAGATACAAAACAGTTTTACTTGTCATGAGCAAAAAAGGGTTAATGCAAGCTGGAAGTTATTTACAGTTAATAGCAGTGGAAAGATTGCAGAGCAGCTTGGTCCAGTATCTAATAACAAAAATAGTTTCTTGTAAAGAGTCTTGAGGGCAGAGACTCTGCAAGTTCTTCACGTTTTTTATGTTGTTTCTCCAAGAAATAGCACAAAATGCCAGCATTTGGGGATAAAGTTTTCCATAGCTTTCTGGTGACCTTGACAATAAGGAAATCAATGACTGGTAATTATAAAGAGGGAGAGGGGGAAAGTTGGCCCAACCTGTCACCAGTTCATCAACTGTGCTTTTTTGATTAGCATATTTAGGGAGAAAAGAATTTGGCCTATTTTAAGTGTGCGAGGACACTGGAGAGAACACTGACATACAGTCAGAGTAACTCATTTGCTCTTAAATCCTGATGGTCATCTCTGAAAACAAAGGTCAGGAAATGATACAGAGGTATCCCCAAGCTAAGTTCTCAGCTCTAATATAGAAAAATACAACTAAATTTTACCAATCACTTGAAATTCAACTCAGTCAACGGCTCTAAGAATAGTTTCATTGAGCCATCGATGCTATTTGTCAGCATCTGAGAAACTCTTGCAGAGTCAGAAGAAGAAAGCAGCTTCAGCTTCATGTATTCAAAACAACACTGAGAATCTGCTGACCCTGCTTAAGAACATTTCTGCAGTGCCTAAAGCTTCAGTGGCCACATTAGTATAAAAGAATCTGAGCTATGCTCAGCAGAATCCATTCAGAGTGTGCTATTAATCTCGATGCATTTTAGACGCTGTATTAAATCAAAACTTTGAAGGCATTTATGTATCTATTTCCTATTGAAATCAAAGGTTTGGGCTTTTGTCCTTTACAGCAAGTAATGGTTAGGTCAGAGAAACATAAGAGGAATAAAAAGCCTAACTCAAAAGGCCTAGTTTCTAGAAGTACTGCTCTCTAGCAGCCAACTGCACCACTGTTTGGGATCCCTGATCTTTATTTCTGTCAGGCTAAAACATTCAGTACTTGACTCACAGTGCAGCAAATTAAGCACAGGGCATTCATCCTTTACCTCTGGTGCTGCAGTGTTCTTCCTCCCAGAAACAGCTCTTTGACCTGGCAGATACAGTGCCACCACCAAGTACATAATATGCAATTAAGAACTCAAAGCATTTCTCCAGTTGAAATCTCTGCCTTCCAGTGTACATTTGTAGGGTCCCTTTCTTTGCTCTGAGACCTCTGGGTACAGCAATAATGATGATGAGGCAGCAAATCACTGACAAAATACAGCTCAGCTCCAAATCGCAGTGTAGTTTTCATACGTGTACGAACTTCATCCTGCTCTTACAGTTTCCCAACATAGAGACAAGATGTCTGCAACCAGTTATACCCAATGGTTTTCAGAAATGGTACAGAACTGCCATATTTTGACATTTCCAAAACATCCAACTGCATAATTAAACAAATGGTAGGTTTCTCTGCCTCCCTTTGCCCTCTCTTCTCTTGCTTGTTTTTATTCCTCTTGTTATCAAATAGTTAGGAGGAAGTTCATTTATGACAAAGATCTAGGATAGGCCTTTCTCTGAAAAATTCCCACTGGTCTGCCTTCAAGGCTAATAAAAATGCTTTATTGTTTCTTCTGTTGATCCTCCCTCACTGGTCAGCAACCCCCTAGGGCACAGTTAGTGCAGCAAATTGAGCTTTGAGTGCCTGCTGTCTCATGCACAGCTCTTGTTAGGAGTAAGTTTCCTGTTACAAAGGAACAGTCCTGCCGAATAGCTGTGCAATTTATTTACTTATTTGATTCCTCACCTATTCTCGTCCACGTTTGGAGGAGAGCTCACAATGACAAAGCCTGGTTTTCCACAATACAATTTTTACCAAGTGTCCAAAAGAATTCCACCATATATTGGAAAAGTAGAGCTGCTTCCCACTGCTGGTTCCTACCTCTGCCTGTACTCAGAGCATCACCTCTCAAATTTCTTCATATGGTTCAGATAGAGATCTAAATTTAACTATAATCTACATACTTTATATGGAATTATTAGCCAAGAAAATGCTAAAAATGCAGCAAATGGAAACTGAAACCCCAAAAATAAATTATTGAAAGTATTTTTGCTTTTATCACTTTCTGCTATTTTACAAGCAGCAGAAAAATGTGGTTTTAATTGTCTGAAAGTGCAAAAATTAAGATTGAGGGCTCAGGCAGATACTGAGGCACAAGCAGACAGCGCGCTATTACACCCTTATAAAGCAGGTGTTTCCTCATATGAGATACTCAACATCACAAAGGACCACTTCTCTGCCTCCTGCAATGAGCAGTCTTATGCCACAGGTAGCCTTTCAAGTTTCCCTTTGACTTCAGGTGGTGCAGTGAAACACTGACGTGCTTTTGACACAAGTTCCCCAAGCTCAATAGGAATGGTCCCCCTAACTTCAGAGGGGTTTGGAACTCCCTCAGTGTAAATAAGGATGGCAGAATAAAACACAAAAGAACTATTTAAAGCCAAGAAAAAAATCCATTGTGGCTCAATACATCTGAAAAAAAAGAAAATAAGATCAAACCCATCCTTCTGGAACAGGATAGAATCTATTTTGCTCTTACCTGTACCTGTACCTAGTATCTTTTTCATACGTCTTTAGCTTCTATACATACATGGGAACAAGAAGTAATAACAATCTTACTTCTTTCAAGACTCAACAAAATCCTGGTCTTACTGAAGGCAACAGAAGCTTTTTATTGATTTCTATGAAACCAGAACTTCAACCCCTGAGAAGAAACTGCAACTCCCATTTAAAAGCAAAAGATCTGTCAAGAAAACTGGCACAAAAACGTAACTACACAAAGTACACAAGGGATTTCAAATGAGATTAGAAGCATTGTTTTGACCTTGTGGCTTTCAGAGGGGTGTGAGAAAAACACAGAAACAGCACAAGAAGCCTTTGCAAACTGGGCAGCTGAGACAGACAGTTTAAACGAATTGGAAAAGCAAGTCTAAACGGAAATGGAGTGAAAGGAAAATACATCTCCATCTAGGGTGAAAGGAATGAAGACCAATAATCATTGGGACTCAGCTTTGTTTCTGCGGTAGGTGCTCTAAAATCCATGTTGGAGGAGCAGACAGAAAGGTCATGGAAGTCAGAATTATTATATGAGAAAGGAAGTAAGGAACAATGGGCTCAGA